ATCGAATTTATTAGTTAATTATTATCAGTTTGTATCGATTAATTATTTTTCGACTAAAAAATCACTTGAAAAGAAAATCATACGATGCGTGCAATCGATGATAGCAAGCAGTCGACTAACTTTAATGCCGAATTTATTAGTTAATGATTATTAATTCCGTGTCTATTAATTATTTATCGACTGACAAATCACTCGAAGAAAGAAACATGCAACAATTTACTAGCACAGGAGACATTCACTCGACGATAGCAAAGCAGTCGATTGACTTTAATACTGAATTTATTAATTAATAATTATCAGTGTCGATTAATTATTTATCGAGTAAAAAATCACTCGAAGAAAGTGTTGGCAGAGGGTGAAATCAGGCAAACACGTGCTTGGTTATTGTATTAGAACACTTTTTTTATTATAAGTGCTTTCATTAAAAAATAGCACTAACAGAAATAAGCGTAAAATCAAACGGAGAAAATACAAAGAAATAGTTTGAATTACAAAAATCGAAGCTCGGATATCCGCTGAGGTAGCTGAACGAAAAAAAACTTATTTTCTAACTCGTGGAGTTACTTCGCGGAGTTATACCACGTGCTTTCTTAACTTTGAAGCTGCCGGAAACGATCTGCTGGTTCCGTCGCTAATTGCTCATGACCCACCGTCGTGTCGGAGTCACCTGTCTTTTCGATCGCAGCGCTTGTCGCTATTTATTAATATATTAAAAGCGCGGTTTTTTAAAATTAATATTCCAACAGAAAGAAACACGCGCACAATTTATTAACTAAGCGATTTACTGACACACGAGATGTTCACCCGATGATAGCAAGTAATCGACTGATTTTATTGGTTATGTTTGTAACGTTGTCAAAACACGAACATGTGTTTAGTTGAAATCTCACAATCAGAGCATGACAAATTCGGCACAGAGTGCACTGAATATAGCGATGAAAACGTGAAAAAAAGAAAAGATTTAAATATTAAGAGGATGCTGAAAGGTCGGCCAAATTTGTACGAAGTCGATAAAGCAGACTCTTCAGTGTCAGTGGTATCTCTAAATGAACTTCTTACAATATCTTCTGTCTCGCTCAAACACGTGGAATGTCCTTATCTAACTTATTGAAGTGCCATCTCTTGGAAAATCCGGCACTACTGCCAAACGTAATTTTTGCTGTCTTTACCTCAGGCGAGCGTACGAATTACCACAAATTGCATTCTAAGTAATAATTGTTTTTCTACGCTTCCAATCGTTGCTCCAAAGGTCTTATATTATTCGTGCAAGTATTCCGATTCGCGCGAATTATTTTTTTTGTACATATGAGCTACAGAACTT